TGAAGAAAAAAAACGACTAAAAAAGTTCATGTCTCATTTTCAGTGTTACCTTGCGAATTTTGTGATGATTTTTTGATAGAACTGTGCCTCTAGATATGCTGCTTATGTGCTCCAAAGATGAGGTCACTTGCTTGAGTATTCGAGTATCTAAACCTATGACAACATCTGCATCTTCAGCAAAGCGCCATTTTGCCTCTAGTGAATGATATAGGTCTGAAAATTTCAGAGAACGCTGCACATCTAAGGGGCATTCTATGCTGTAAATTTGAGGTCTATATTCCAATCCTACACTGAGTTCTGAATAACACACTGAGAACTAATGATTTTTGACATCACCTATGTCTATAGTAAAATGACTCTAGTTTGGCAACGGCTCAAGGAACTTTGATGAAATTTTTACCAGAGATAGCCAGTATACAGGGCTTTAAAATGACTAAACTCCCAGCTCAAAAGCTCTTGTTGTTCTCAAGTTATACAGTCTACAACATCGATGGACCGCTTCCCTAATAACTCTCTTATTACCCATTCTTTAGGGACGCGGGTTTCGCCGCTGATCTACATTTATCGAGAACCATCTGTGCTTCAATTTTTAGCTCAATAGCTTGCATAGTAGCTGAGATCCAAGGGGGGGGGCGAATACTTTTGGCCACCTGTGTATTGTTATTTTTATGCCGACGGATATGACATCACAGATAATGGACCACTGGTTTTCTACCGATTTCGATGGTACGATCGGAAATAGATTCCATAGAATTTTGAAGACAAACGAGTGCAGTGTCAGATATTGATTTGGTGCAAGAATGGTTAAATGAATCAAACGAATCGACATCATCCAATAGAATGAAACCGTAAGGATAGAAAGATAATCAATTTTAGGAAGAGTATGACAACCAATATGAGTAAGTAGTATTCAAGGTGTAAGTGTTAAAATAGTTCGAATCAGAGTATGATGAATAGTACGAACGAAATAAAAGAATGGCATTAAAATGAGCGAAAGGATAATTAGCGAAGAAGAGAAAAGCGAAAATAAAAGAGCGAAAGAAATATAGCTAAAGAAAAGATAGCGAAAATAGATAGCGAGTGAGAAAATGACGAATGAGAAACAGCGGAACGAAAAAATAGCGAAGACTTTAATAGCGAAATAAGAAATGCCGATTAATATGAAAGTATGAGAAGAAATTTTTTCATCGTTGATGATCATCTAATGGACATATTTTATTCTTCTTTTAAGAAGTAATACACATGAAAAGACAATAAATGAAAATGCAAGAAAATAATGAAGAGCTAATAGTATGATTATTTTTAATCATTGTTTTTTTTGTTTCGCTATTGTAAGCGACAAACCATCAAGTAACTGGTCAATATTAATCTCACCACCATTGTATCGATCATATAATGTATCGATACGTCTTTGTATCATATGGGCTGCAGGTGCTTTTTTTCGTGCTTTAGCACCAGCATTCATTTGAAGAAGTAGATGACGAAATCGATATTCTTCATTTTGCAAGAGTTTGATGAACATCCAAATGTTGGGGTGTGACTTTTGAATTCTTTGGTTAAGTCTGTTGTGAAAACCTAAAATATAAGATAGAAACAACATGCTGAAAAAATGAAACATACACACCTTCACAGTTATTGTTTGTTTTGTAATGATACCCATGGACGTTCCATATTTTTTTTGGAACATTAGAAAACCATTGATAATTGAAATAAACAAATAATTGATGCAATTCTTGTTGTACCATAGTAGATGATTTCGCACGTAGATTATGAAATGAAGATTCAGTTTGATCGATGGGAAGTAAAGCTAATGCCATTAATTTACGACAGCATGAACGTATTTCACTATTTTGAAAATACAAATTAGTTAATCCTAAAGTTTGTATACGACGAAAAATGGCTTGTGTGTAATGGAAAAAACAGCCGCTGTGTACCGCTGCCGGAAACTAAAACAAAATGAACAATTATTCAAATAATTTAGGAACAATAAAAATAAATACTTTATTAGCAACAGCTGCGATAAGACCTGGTTCAAAATCACTTAATATACGAGCTGGTTCAAATGTAAGATTACGTGATATAGCGAAATTTTTTAAGATCTTGAACAATTCTTGATAAGTGGTTCTCTTCCGATTTGGAAGAACACCAAATACACATGGAAAACCTACGCAGAAAAATAATTAAATAAATACATAAAATAAAAAAACAATATGTGTACTCGTTTTAAATTTCAACGAATGTATGGTGAAGACTTGGTCGAAAAATGGTGGCGTAGAAGAAAACGTTCCATCCATGAAAATTGTTGCACTACTGAACAACATTTCCAACTGTGTAGTACTACCGAACAATAACATTCTTTTTCTGCGACCAACTAATGTATCAGAAAATAAAAAGATTTCTTGTTTTAACGTAACTTGGTAAGAATCAGGAATTTCAAATGATGATGAAGAAGGTAAAACTGGTGTTAATTGACGCCGAGCATATAATAAACCTGGCTCTAAAACATCGACATACTGTATGAAATGAAAAACGCATAATTAAGCATGTCAACAAACGTATTTCTCGAACTAATGGCAGTTTTGCTAATGTTCCTGTTGAAAGTCGAGATTTTATAATTTCTTCTTCATATATTTTTGAAATGGCTGTTGTTTCTTGTATAGCTCTATTTTTCAGGTTACTTCGAAATTGTTTCACTTTTACAAGTTCCGGTTCACATAAATGATTATGATCACCACTTGACTTTATGAAAATGTTATCAATATCTGTATGTACATAAGCCGTACATCCATTCTCTTGGCAAATCCAATACTTTTTATCGTTTGTTTGTTTCTTCAATCGGTACACAAAATCATTCAATACCAACAAAAGTTTACCTTTATTCGATACAAGAAAAGACAAACTATTAGGAGTGGACATCATAAATATAGATACTACAAACGTTTACAATATGTAATGGAGAGAAAACACAAGACTTTGTATATATTTATTTATTTATTTCACGTTCTTTCCTTTATTTTCATGTAGAAATTCATCACTGTTATCGTTCTATGAAAGAACAGTATCAGCCACTAAATGTACATTTGGTACATTGCGCTAGAATCAGTGTTATACAATGATATCTAGAACATTTCGCCATTTTCATATGATCGACATTTTATTTTTCGCTATATTTTTTTTCGCCTTTCGCTTAGCGCTATTTCTCATGTCGACATTTTTTCTTCCTTCATCTTTTTTCGCTCTTTTTCTATTGCTATTATCTTTTTCGCTATTTTTCTTTTCGCTTATTTTAATTCATACCAAATAAAAGCATGTGACGCTGTGCAACAGCCAACCGATCATGATGAGTACAAAGTGCACCATATTGATAATTGTATGAATATATTTTCAACTTCTAATGAACGAAATAAAACAAAAGCAAACTACTTAGTGGTATCCAAAAGTAGTGGCAACGACATTTTATTACCATATTTTAGGGTTGATAAAAAATTCTTTTTACATAGAATGATAGAGCGAAAAATGCTCTTTCTTTCTATGCTATTTGATTGTACTTCGCTTGACATCATAATAACAAAATTCTAATAAAACTAGTTTGCCTAACATGTGTATCGGTTATAGAAGTTCA